TCATTGTATGGCCGTATGACTATCTGTTTGTAAACTGAGGAACATTTGGAGTATTTCCATCTTTTGGTGATGATGATGTTCCATAAATGTGTGTACAAGTGTTCATGTGCATATGTGTTTTTATTTCTTACCTAGTAGAACTTTTAGGTTATATGGTAACTGTGTGGAACTGCCAAATTGTTTTTACAAAGCAGCTATAACATTTTATAATCCCATCAGCAGTGTATAAAGGTTCCAGTTTCTCCACATCCTTGTCAACACATATTATCTGACTTAATGATAGCCATTCTAAATGATACAATATGAAATGGTGTCTCTTTGTAGTTTGATTTGTATTTCCCTGATAACTAATCTTGTTGCATATTCTTTCTTGTTCTCATTGACCATTTATCTTTATTGGAGCAACATTTATTCATATCTTTTGCCCACTTTTTAACTGGGTTGTCTTATTTTTGAGGTGTAAGGGTTCTTTATATATTTTGGTTATAGGTCCCTTATCAGGTATTTGAATTGTAAACAATTTCTTCTTATCTGTGGGTTTCTTTCACTCTTTAAAATTTTTTTTTTCTATTTTTGCCTATCGCTTTCTTGATGGCATCTTGAAGCATTAAAGATTTGTTGGTGTGTGTGTGTGTGTGTGTGTGTGTGTGTGTGTGTGTGTGTGTGTGTGTTTGGAGATGGTTTCATTCTGTCCCTTAGGCTGGAGTGCAGTGGTGTGATCCTGCCTAATTGTAGCCCTTGCTTCCTGGTCTCAAGTGATCTCCTGCCTTGGTTACCTGAGTAGCTGGGGCTATAGCTGTGCGCCACTATACTCAACTAATTTTGTTATTTCTTGAAGAGATGAGGTCTCACTATGTTGCTCAGGCTAGTCTCAAACTCCTGGACCCAAGCAATCCTCCTGCCTCAGCCTTCCAAAGTGCTAGGATTATAGGCATGAGCTACCGCACCCAGCCTGCATGAAAGTTTTTAATTTTGATGAAGTCTAGTTCATCATGCTGTTGGTAGATTGTGCTTTTGGTGTGATGTCTTAGAACTTTTCCCTAACTCCAGGGCATGAGAATGTTCTCCTTTTAAAAGTTTTATAATTTTATGTTTTACGTTTAGATGTGTGATCCATATTAAGTTAATTTTTGTATAAGCTGTTAAGTTTAGGTAGAGGTTTATTTGTTTGCCTATAGATGTCCAATAATCTCAAATTATTTTGTTGACAAGACTATCCATTCTCCACTGAGTTGTCATTGTACCTTTGTCAAAAATCAATTGCTATTTATGTGAGTCTGTTTCTAGACTATTCCATTGATCTATGTGTATGTCCTTTCACAATTACCATCCTTCCTTAATTATAGCTTTATAGTAAGTCTTAAAACTGGGTTGCATGATTGATTCCTCCACTTTATGCTTTTTCAAAATTGTTTTGACTGTGTTAGTTTTTTTTTGCTTTCCGTATAAAATTTAGAATCAGCTAGTCTATGTCTACAAAAAATTCAGCTGGGGTTTTTAATGCAACTTTGTGAGTCCTTCAATTCATGAACATGAGGTATCTCTCTATTTAGCATCTCTTTGGTTTCAGTCATCAGCATTTTGTGTAGTTTTCAGCTTACAGATCCTTTACATCTTTTCTTAGTTTATTCCTAAGTGTTCATTTTTGGGGGAGCTATTGTGAACGCTATTGTTTTTGAAATTTGAATTTCCAGTTGCACATTTCTAGTGCATACAAATATGTTTGATTTTGTTTGTTGACCTTGTATCTTGTGACCTTGCTAAACTTTATTATTAACTTTGCAAGTTTTTTGTTGTTGATTTATTGGGTTTTTCTATATAAACCACAAATAGGAAGTTTTATCTTATCCTCCCTAGTCTTATAAGCCTTTTATTTTTCCTCCCTGATTGTGCTGGCTAAAACAATACAGTGGAAAAAGTGGCCATCCCTGTTTCCTTCTGGGTTATAGGGTTTTGAAAGCATTGTCTTTCACCATTAATTACTGTGCAGGCTGTAGGATTTTCATAAATCCCTTTTATCAGATTGAGGAAGTTCCATCCATTGATTCTTTGTTAGCTGAGTTTCTTTCAAGAGTGGATGTTGAATTTTCCATGCTTTTTCTGTATCAATTAGTTTGATCATTTTTTTTCCTTTAGCCTGTTAATATGGCTGATATATATATATGTTAAAGTCTCATACTTGTCGCCCAGGCTGGAGTGCGGTGACATGCACACAGCTACTGCAGCCTTGACCTGCTGGGCTTAGGTGATCATTCCGCCTCAGCCTTCCAAGTCGCTGGAACTACAGATGCATGCCACCACACCTGGCTAGTTTTTATGATTTATTGTAGAGATGAGGTCTCACCCAAGTTGCCCAGACTGGTCTCAAACCCCTGGGCTCAGGCAGTTCTCTCGCTTTGGCCTCCCAAAGTGCTGGGACTACAGGCGGGCCACTGCGCCCAGACAATTGAGTTAATTTTGAGATAGCTTGTGTGTCCCCCCAATCCCAAATTTGGTCATGGTATATTATGCAGTTTATCTAGATTCATTTATTAAAGGTTTTTGTCTGTGTTCATTTTGGATATTATCCACTATTTTTTTTCCTTTAATTATCTTGATTTAGTATGTTAATTCTGGCCATATAAAATGAATTGAGAAGCGAGTGATCCTTTCTGAGATTTGTAGAATTTATGTTAATTCTTCTTTAAATGCTTTATGAATTTGCCAATAGGTTTTTAAAAATAGATTCAATTTTTAAAAGTTGTTTTATAGAACATATTCAGGTTATCTAGTTCATATTAGTTAAGTTTTGGTAGTTTGTGCCTTTCAAGACGTTGGCTCATTCATGGAGTTATTCATTGTATTTTTTAATGTCCTTTTAATGTCTTCAGAATCTGTATTGTTATCTTCTTTCTCATTCCAAAGATTGATAATTTCTCTCTTTTTTCTTTCAGTCTTACTGGAGGTTTATCAATTTAATTGCTATTTTCAAAGAATAAAGGATTTTTTGGTTTTGCTTTTTCTCTATTGTAAATTTGTTTTCAATTGCATTGATTTTCTCCCTTCTTTTTTCTTTCTTTCTTCCTCCTGCTTACTCTGGGTTTAGTTTACTTTTTTCCCTTTAGTTTTTTAAAGTGGAAGCTTAGAGTATTGAGTCCATACTTTTTCTTATTTAATAAAAACAGTTGATGTTATAAATTTCTAAGTACTGTTTTAGCTGCATCTCACACATTGTGATATTTCCATTTCCATTCAGTTTAAGATATTTTCTAATTTTGAGACTTCCCCTTACAGCCAAGAATTTAGAAGTGTATTGTTTAACTTCCAAGTGTTTGGAAATTTTCCTGCTGTTGATAATTTCTAATTTATGGTTAGAGAACATATTTTGTATGATTTTAACCCTTAAATTTGTTAAGGTTTGTTTTAAGACCCAGGATATGATCTATCTTGGTAACTGTTCAAGTGTAGTTGAAATGAGTGCTTTTTCTGCTGTTCTAGGTTGAAGTATTTCACGTTGATTAGATTAGTTGGTTATTAGTGTTATTCCCTTCTACATCTTCACTAATTTTCTAGTAATTCTATAGACTATAGACAGCAGACTGTTTAAGTCTCCAACTTTAATTGAAGATTTAGCCATCTCTCCTTTCAATGTCATCAGTTCGTTTCATGGTTTTTTTTGGGTTTTTTTTTGAGTTGGAGTCTCACTCTGTCACCAACTGGAGTGCAGTGGCCGCTCCTGGCCACCGCAGCCTCAACCTGCTGGGGCTCCGGTGATCCTTCCGCCTCAGCCTTACAAGTAGCTGGAATTTACAGGTGCACGCTGCCACGCCTGGTTAGTTTTTTGATTTATTGTAGAGATGAGGTCTCACCAAGTTGCCCAGGTGGGTCTTGACCCTGCAGGCTCAGGCAATCCACTCACCTCAGCCTCCCAAGGTGCAGGATTATAGGCTGAGCCACCGAGCCCGGCTCGTTTGATGTATTTTTAAGCTCTGATATTAGGTGCTTACATGTTGTTTAGCATTGTCTTGGTGGATTCTCTTTTTTTTTTTTTTTGAGTTGAGGTCTTACTGTCTCCCAGACTGGAGTGCAATAACAAGCTTACCACAGCCTTAACCTCCTGGTCTCAGGGGATTCGTCTGCCTCAGCCTCCCAAGTAACTGGGATTACAGGCATGTGCCATCACGCCCAGCTATGTTTTTTGATTTTTTTTGTTTTGTAGAGACAAGGTTTTGCTGTGCTGCCTAGGCTGGTCTTGAACTCCTGGGCTTAAGCAATCCTCTTGCCTTGGCTTGCCAGAGTGCTGGGATTACAGACATGAGCCACTTCACTGGGCAGAAATACCTATTGTTTTATAGATAGGATATCTCATAACTGGAAATGTATACAAAGTTCAAAGTTCAGTATGAGTTTTTAAAAAACTCATATGGTGACAGAGGGATTATTAAGCTAATGAGAGTCAAATGCAAAAGGAGGCTTCTTTTGTAAACAAATTTTTTTTTATCAGTAATTCCTTGCAATGTCCACTTTAATGGCTTGTTAGTTTAATTAAACATGAACAGTTCAAAATCACATATTGTTTCAGTTCCAGTAATAATTACCAGTTGACTCAAGCATGCTAACATAAGCTGGGCAGTTACCTGTCATTAGCAATCCTGCAGAAATATTGTTTATTTAGGTAAGGGGGCTTGGACTAAACTTCAGGTGGGCTGAATCTAAGGGTAAATATGTATTAAGGATAGCATCCATAGCAGCGATGAATCTAAATGACAAGTGATTAATAATGCATAAACAACTTTTAATGCACATTAAGCATACTGCCATTATCCTATGTCTATCTGCAAAACAATTAGAAAGTAAAGTGTCAGGTAATAGTCACACTATTAAGAGACTTCATTGTTTCTGCTACCATACTTCTAACTATAGTGCTAAGTGAATATACTGAGATAGCTTTTTATAGTGTATTACATTGCTAAAATAGATAATTGAATCAGAAGAAAAAACAAAACCACCCAGCAAAGGACTACATTTCAACAACTTTATTGAAAGGTATATCCCTTAGGACCAAAACATAATAGTAGTTGGTTAGGTTACCTCTGCCAACTCAAAATTAACACTGATATATTCAAAATATTGAAATTTATCAGCCTTTGGGAAAACTGAAAAGATCATAAAACATGGTTTACAAAAGTTAAGGATGAGATGTACTGTGGTTCTTTGGCTTATTTTTTTAGAGCTTACTTATCCATAACATGATGTCAAAATTGGTTACAGCCATTCTGTATGGACTCAGGCTACACTGAGTAACTGTCTACAGTACTTTATCACAGTAATTCTTCTCTTTATAGCCACTGACTGACACTGAGAATCCTGAACACTACACCTTAGTGATCTTGTAATGATGAAGGTGCCTACTTACTTTTCTTAAGACTTTGTTTTGGCACAGTAAGAGCACTCGTGAAAGTATATTCTCTTCTTCTTAAATTAGAAGCAGTGGCAGTTTTATAAAAAAAACAGTTCCTAGTAAAAACTTTTGGAGTGTTAAGTCTACCCTGAATGTACCTTACTGGGCTAAAGCAGGTTTTCAAATTGATACTTTATTTTGAAATACTAATACAATAGAAACTAATTTTCTCAATGGGACTAGATTGAGGCAGTAGGTTCTGTATAAAATTTTTATCATGGATACAAATGTCACCTGTTTTCTAGAAAAAATATTAAGGATAACTTAATATGCCAAACTTACTAGGTCTGTATTTTTGCTTTGTATAAAATGTCCTCAAATTTAAGTGTAATTCCCATATAGTAATAAAGTCCACATCTCTGGATTTTCTGTTGCTTGTATTACAGGGGCCAAGAAACCATTTACACTGCCTAGAATATTAACCCTTATTATGCCTTAAAAGTGCATTTATGAAATGTCTGTTCTGATGTAAACCTTATAACTTAACATTTAAATTAAGCAGGTTACCATTTTCAATACCATCTAAATACAATATATTGATCTAATATATAAAGTTAGGTCATTGTTAGAAATGAAAATTCACAGTATACCTTCCCAGGCTTATCATTAGCATTTCACATTTATGCTTTTAGCTTTGATTTGAATGCTTCACAGATAAATTCAAATCTAAACATACTTCCACTGTAGCATATTAATAATGAGGCAGTTTTCCCAAGTCTGAGAATATCATGCTAACTAGTGATGTTTTGAGGCTTCATAGCTTAAATCCTTTATAACATTATGGTATCCACAGATCAGGGTTATGAAGAAAGGCTTCAGAGAAGAGTTTTTTTGCTGTAGTAATCCTATTTAAATAAACAAAAATTATCATTAGAAGTCAGTCTGATAAATTGCCAATAAAATTGCACTGTTCATAGTTAATACTCATAATTATATAGATGTTAATTCTTAAATAGAATAAGATAAAATCATCAATGTGAGTTAAGAAATTTAGATAGCAAGAATGTATGTCATATATGCAATGACCAAGCTTATATATACATATATTTTAGTTGGAGTCTCACTCTGTCGCCCAGGCTGGAGTGCCCAATCATGGCTCACCTCCTGGGCTTAGGTGATCCTCCTTCCGACTCAACCTCCAGAGTAGCTGTGACTACACCCCACCCAGCCCAAGTTTACATTTTTTATGCATGTAACTACTTTTTAGTAAGTTCAAGTGCTATAGCAATGATATATGTATGACAACCAATATAGATGCCATCTATTATATCTTACTTTTTCTTTAAGTACAATATCCAAGTTCATACAAGCTTAATGGTCTCAAATTAGTTCATATATGGTTCAAACTTTTAATCTTGTTATCCTACTAGGCTGTGAAACTTTAAATGAGCCAGAGCTTGGGTCTACATGTAGCAAGATGATGTGCAATTAAAAAAACTCTGTCTGTAATATACTTTACTTTCTTCTACTTTGTAAAAAACAAAAACAAAAAACTCCTAATTTTAGTGCTACTTAAAAATTCAGATTATTAAGAAGATGCTGTTTCTAAGCTGAAAATTTAATGAGATAGCTAATTATATATCAGAGGTTGGATAATTCCTTACTCTTAAGGTGCTAAACCTTGTAGGTAGTAAATGCCTTTAAATATTTGCTGACCAGATCAGTGGAATCATTTTCCCCTTTGCTATTCCAACTCCATTTTGTTTATTTTGAAGATATCTTAATTCTTTAATTGTAGAAGAAAATTATAGCACTGGAAAATTTTCTCTATCTGGAGAATAACAATGAATCAAATTTACCAATTAAGGAACCATTTCAGGAATTGTTGGAAGGTGAGTTATTCTGTAGTAACTATGCTTCAGTTGTCGTGCAGTACGCCCAGAAACAATCCATTTCAACTTCTGAACATTTGGTTTGGAACACTTGTTTGATGAATATTCAGTTAAACACTTGGATACGAGCTCTTGCCAGAAGGTCAAATCTCTGCCATTTACCTATACATACATTTTTCAAAGTTACTCAATTAAAATAAAAGTTCCACCATATTTAACTATAATAGTAAATGCAATCCTATTAATATGTGTCTTCTTTTCCTCATTAGAAAAAAATGTGAGGATGGTTACTTAAGTTTCACATAAACCTAGGATATTTTACTTCAGAAGATAGCACAAGTGGTTTAGTTTCCTTTATAGCTGTTAATAGGATTTAGGTTATGACCTTGACATACCTTGGAATGTTTCTGAAGACATTCTACTCCTTCTGTTAACTCTCCACACATCTGTGCTTGGATCTCCAATGCGATGATAGACAATGCCAACACAGATGGCTAAAAGAGATCAATTTAAAGTAAGGGCAAAATATAAAAACAACTCCATATAAATAGGCTTAATCTTTATAAACTATTTACCTTTGCTTTAGAAAATATGATCCTGCAGTGACATGCCTTAAGTTGAGCTTCTAGTCTTTCAAAATTGAGGCCATTTCTCCTTTAAGAAGAAAATGGGATTACTTTTATGTAGCTAATATCACATTTAGTCAAGACATTTTAAGGAAAACACTGCAGTCGATTTTTACAAGTGAAGCTTATGCACATTTAGAAAGTAAATTATGTGAAGTAAAGGAATTTCCCTTCCATCAGACATTAACTTATTAAGGGCACCATAAGTTTTAAATGATTTAGGCCAAACAAATAAAAAAATGACGGTATCATGCCACAAATATCAAGTTTTATTTTCTTTTAGTTTTAATCTATCTGCATCTATTGAAGTTTTTTTTTCCATAAATTTGTGTTATATGCTAATCTAGTACTAGGTCCTTTAATCCCAAGAATTAGCCTTCATGAAGCTACTGCCAACTGAAAATGTTCTCAATTCTGCTGGACAGTAAAGTTCAAGGGGCCACAGCTGTCATTTTACTTTTTTTGATTAGCATTCTATGAAGATATTGATTTTATGCAAAATGCATGTAACTGCATTCTGATTTCCAAATCTTCTTTGTTCAATACAGGAGTCACATACCTTTCAAACGGCAAGTTCTCTTGAAGGAGTGAATAATAGAGTTGCAGAAACTGAAATGCAGTAGTAGCTTTGACTTTCCAACACACCTTCTCTAATACAATCTTTTCCATTCTCATCAAGTCTGAAACAGTAAACCTGTACTGACTTATTCGGATCAAGTCAGTTGCCAGTGGGACATTCCTTTCCTCTTCTACTGATTTTACAGCTAAATAGAAGCAGCTCAGTCCAACACACCCAAGGTGCTTGGGCTGTACCTAAAAAAACAAAGACAAAAATCACAATAATCCCATGACTCTACCTTATTTCAATTAACAAAACACAATAATCTAGAGCTCAGACCCATCATTATGAAAATGTATCTTTGAGGTATATATGAAGGGCTTAACAAGATCCACTCATGCCAAACTGTAGCCTTACAACACTATGCACCCCACTTGGAACCAATTTTTGAGTAGTTGGGCTATGTCAGTATAGTATTTGGCTGGGCATAGAAAAGTTCTATTTTTTATTACTGTAGATCTATACCTAAGCACTTTGTTCTAGTTTGAACAAATAAGTTAACTTGTCAAATTCTTATATGAGGACTGAAACATTGTATGGCTTATTAACAAAATTTCTTTCTGGGATATTATATTTTTTCCAGGTTGTTTTCTTTGTAGTAATACATGTAAAACAGTTTAAAAATATTATAGCACATACTGTTTACTCTGCTTATAAAGTTCTACTCACTACCTTTCATTTCCATTTAATTTTCTGAGTATCTACAGTGTGAGGCACAGTCAAAATTCTATTTGGACCTTAAATTCCAACTCAAATATAGCTTTAAGAAGCTTTTACCAATACCTGTGCTCTCTTTCCTCTTCATGTAACCCCTTCAGCAGTATATTTATGCCTCTTTAAAGACATAGTGTAATTATTTTCCTTATCATGACTTGCAATATATGATAGTTATCAGTGCAACCATCTTATGTCCACATAAGACTATTATACTAGAGGGACGGCTGTATATTATTCATTTGTGCAACACTGGCAGATTCAAAGGTAGTGCCTACATATTTAAGTGTCTAAAGAGTTTTTTAATCAGTCTGTTGAACAATTTTCTTGAACCATTCAATTCAAATATTGTGTTTCTTCTATATATGATGCATTATGTTGGGTAGAGTGCTAAAATATGAGTTTCATTTTAATTGTCACATTATCTCATTTTCCTCCAGTGACTATGGTTGTACAGAGAAGCAGTCGTATTTTTAAGTTATGCGCTGAAAGCTACACAGATGTTTTGTTTATCTAGTATAGGGAAGTAATTACTCCTTATTCAGAAGACACTCTCTTTGTTGCATGCACACTGAAGCTAGAAATGCCAAGCATAAGCAAGTCTTGGTGAGGACTAAGGCTAAAACGTACAATTTTATACATGTGTAGCGATTAAGAAATAAATAATGGTTCTTAGCCACAATCTAGCCTCTAAATTTCTTTACATTTAAAAACGGCAGTAAATGAATGAACATATCTAATTTATCAAGAAAGGTATTTTAAAAACAACAGCCAACTTTTTTCATTGAGAAACTCTATAATTAATTATTTGATATTAGACTTTTTCATTTCAGAATTTAATAAATGATGCATTACTCTTGATTATGGAAAGGAGGCATATTAATGCTATAGTAGACAAAATTACTATAATGTTTTGGCAATTTGCTGAAAATAAAAAAGGTCAAGTTTATGAATACCGGCCAAAAGTTTGACAATTCCATCTCTAGAACACATTGAGCAAAATTAAGAAATACTCAGGTTATGTGGTTTTAAACATACCTTCATTTTAGACAGGAATCTGTCCAGTAAATTCACAGCTAGAGAAAATGTCTCCGTGTCGAAGCCGAAGAATTGAGTTAGACTAAGAAGATCTTTTACTTCAAAGTCCCTTAGCCTGGCAGTCATTCTGAGGCCATTATCGTGTGCAGACTCAATTAGTCTCAAGCCGCAGACCTTTGGCTGACATCTAGACTCCTGTTCCAACAGGGCATTCAGCTGGTGTAGCAGTTTCTGAGAGTCAGTTGTTGTCAGTACCTCTATCATCTATATATAGAACAAAGCCCAGAAAGGAGTGTAAGAGTAGCCCTTCCTGCTTTCCTTGGCCATCTTTGTATTGGGCCAAGATGTGCTTTATGATATGTATCCTCTCCCCCAATAGGGCTAGTAAATCTAGGACACTGCAAAGTGCTATTTGCTATTTCTTTCTCTTCTACAAGTTGGTTACATCCTAAATTGCAAGTTCTGAGAGGGCAGAAACCATACCTTAAAAAAAAAAAAATGCAAATCTTCAAGAAGTGTTTGTTCAAATTATTCACTGTCAATAGATGACCATGAATAGATACTATAAGAAAGGATACCAAAACTGGATGGTAGTAAGTATTCTGCCATATACTAAGATGAACTGTTCAAGTTTCTTATTCCTTTGATTTAGTTCCTTGTCTGTATAATGGGGATAAGGTTATTACCTCCCTCAGATTTGTGTGAGTTAAATGAAATCGTGTAAAAAGCTCAGCACGTATGGTAGGTGCTTAAACACTGAACGATAATAATGAGCTTTATTTCTACATGTGTAAAACGAAGGTGACAATATCTGTCTCTCTGAATAGCTATGAAGATCGAACAAGATGATTCACTTAAAGAGTGTAGCACTGTGCACACCAATTTAGAGGCAGGAAGGTAGGGGGTCTTTACGGTTGGCCATATGAAAAACTCCTAACTTCAGGGGTCCAATTCTTTCGCCCCAGATTGGTCTTGGAACTGGGCCAGAAAGCCACTAAAACACCTCAGGAGGACGGATCGGGTTCCGCCCCTCCCGGCTGGGACTAGCCTGGGCTTGTGCTCACACCAGCGAGAGTTCACTGAGGAAAAACGGGCGCGGACCACCCTCGCCCCGCGCCTCACGCCGGGCCTCTAGCCCTGCTCCCCACGCGCACCGGAGGTCAACCCAGTGGCCCCAGCTCACCTTGGTAGCGCCGTGGCTCCTCGGTAGTGACCACCCTCCCCGGGCCTACTCTCTCTCACCTCACCCCACGATACCAGAGCCGAGAGGCCTACGAGGCGAGAGGACTCGCAGGCAAGAGGAGAGGGGCCCGGGGAGGGGGAGCCGTCCTGCGTGGAGGCCTCCTCAGCGCAGCCGAGGCGGCTCAGCCCCGCTCTCGGTCAGCTCGGAGCCGAAGGGGCCGCGCCTGCCTTCACGAGAAATATATGGAAGGGCGGGGCTTTTCTGTGAAGGGGTGGCAGTTTCGCCGCTGATTGGTGCAGTTCTTTTGATGGATGCCCTCTGCGGTCCACAAAGGGCTGGTCTGTAGGGTAAAAGTCCGACCAATCAGCTCCCACTTCCCATTATCCGAGTCAAATTCTCTGCCCCCTTGAGACCGCGCTCCCAGCTCTTAGCGTCGCTCATTGGATGATTTTCCAAAGTGTCTTCATTCAAGAGGAGGCCGAGCTACATACACAACACTTGCCTGGGCCTGGTCAATCGGCTGCCGGCTGATTGGCCAGGATATCTTTCCAGAATGTGCTGGTAGTTTTTGTTCCCTGTGGTTTAGTAGTTCTGTAGTGGTTCTACCCACTCTTTCTAAAAATACAGTGACTAGTTAAAAAAAAGAAAAAAAAGACAAGCTGTGATTTTTCATTACAGATATTGAGGTTGTGGAATGTCTATGGTGTAGTTTATTAAATTCCCTAGTGCTCTCTTTGTACGCTTTGGAAATCAATTGATTTCTGCATTATTTTGCTTTTTATATAATTTATCAAATAATGGAATTAGACTATAATTTCTTGGCCCTATATCAATTTTCTGAATTTACTTTTTAATCAAATTTAATTAAATAGGAAAGTTGTCACAATTTTTCTTTCTTTTTTTAAAGAGCAGTGGGAATGGTTTTACTGAAAAGGTAGTATTATCATTCTTCTTTTTTTTTTTAATTTTTTTTTTTTTTATGAGTTGGAGTCTCACTCTGTCACCCAGACCGGAGTGCAGTGGCCGCTCCCGGCCACCGCAGCCTCGACCTGCTGGGCTCCGGCGATCCTTCCGCCTTAGCCTTCCGAGTAGCTGGAACTACAGGCGCGCGCTACCACGCCAGGCTGATTTTTGATTTATTGTAGAGATGAGGTCTCGCTGCCCAGGCGGGTCTCGAACCCGCGAGCTCAGGCAATCCACTCACCTCAGCCTCCCAAAGGCACGGGATTACAAGCTGAGCCACCGAGCCCGGCTCATTCTTCTTTTACAAAATTAGTACTATATAAAATACTATTTTCTTGAATCCTGGATGATGGATACAGTCAATTAGTTTCCAAAACAAAAACAAACAAAAAACCCCACCTGCTAAGCATAATAAGCACTTAGTAAAAAATAATAACTCAATGAACAAAATCCTGGAGTGATTTCCTACCAAAGACATATCACCTACACTCTAACTGGGTCTATCAAGCTTACTTATGATATTTAAAGTTGCTTAGGACACTTCAGCTCAGACCTAGGTTTTAATCAAAGAGTGGGGGTGGTGGCAGGTAGGGAGCAAACAATAGAAGGAATCAGAAAGAACTGTTGGTAGCAGCAGAATGTTACGTAGTTATCACAATTTTTCAATGACTTAAAATGAAAGATGTGTGGTAGAGTGTTAAAAGGGAAAAATTATTGTGAGTGTGAATTTCAGACTACAGACCCAAGTGTGAAGCTATATTATTCTTTTTATGTACTGTAATGAACTTAATCTCTGTTAGCCTCTGCTATACCAGATTCGTGGAAAATAACCTGAACTCTTCTTAAACTTCTTCCCTCTCCCTCTCTCCCAGATTGTCACAAGTGAAAAAGATCTATCAGTAAAAGGGCCTGAAAAAAGGATGCACAAGGAGTCATTTCTCGGCTTTTATGAATTATACAGTAGTTGAATATCTGTTCTCACTGCTTCTTCCTGTTCAGTGTCTCTCTGGTTGTACAGGGGTTCTGCTCTCTCTGGGGACAGTGTCTCTCTGGGCTTTGAAAAAGTAAAAATTGAAAGATTTTCTGACATCTCTGTTATTTTCCCTGCTATGTACTTACCTGAGGCAATGCCACAGAATCAAGTCCTGGAATGGGGTCAAAGAGATGGAGAAGAAGCAGAAGGAAAAACAAGGGAGAAAATATTAATACCTCAGGTACATAATCTAGTCAGTTGAGAAGCTGGCATTCAAATGATGAAGGGGCTTTTTCCGTCTTGAAAATAAACTTACCTAATGAATATAATATAGTCTCAATTTATAACACCCAAAACTAATTGTATTCAAAAAATACATTTTGGTATAATGTGTGAGTTCAAGTGTACATGTTTTTCCTTTTGCTTTTTGATCCTGTTATTCTCAATTTCTAAAATTAGGAATATTATTATTAATATTAGACATTTTAGAAATTAGGAATATATGTACACTTTTAAGAAATGGCTTAATAACCATAAAATCTTTGTGACAATAAAGAGTGTGCACAAGTTCATTAATATTTATTTATTTTTGAGTCAGAGTCTCATTCTGTCACCCAGGCTGGAGTGCAGTGGCCTGATCACTGCTCACTGCAGCCTCAAATCCCTGAGCTCACGCAATCCTTCTGCCTCCCAAGTAGCAAGGATGACAGGCAGGCATGTACCACCATATCCAGCTAATCTTTTGACTTTTTTTTGTTTGTAGAGAAGAGGTCTCACTAGGTTGCTGAGGCTGGTCACAAGCTCTTGGGAGAAAGCAATCCTCCTGCTTCCGCCTCCCAAAGTGCTGGGATTATAAGTGTGAGCCACTACACACAGCCTGTTAATATTATTGAACACATACTATGTGATAGTAGAGAACAAACTAAACTAGTCCCTGTCCTTGTGGTACATTTAGTGGGCAATATAAACACATAGACTTTGGAATAAAATAAACGTATTTTCATATCTAGAAATTACTATTAACTAATCATGTGACTTTTAGCAAATTATTTAATCACGTTGAGTTTTCATTTTCTTTTTTCAAAAAATAAAAGGTAAAAAAATGTGCTCATAGCATTATTGAGAGGATTAACTAATGGAAACACATAAAGAAATAGTCACTATTCCAAGAACACAGTAAATTACTTGATAAATTGTAGCCCTTATAATTAAATTACTAGTATTTCTTCTTAAATGTTTGTTTAAACATACATTGTGTTTTCTCTGATATCAGATTTAGTCTTCTATTTTACGCCTAGAAGAAGAATCAAAATTGTTTGTTGAATGCTAATAAAAGTATCCAAATTGCGAATATTACTTTCCATGCTTTATTTATACTTGAAATTTTCACTTGAGGGCTTTAGGTAATATATCAATCTTTATGTAATAAAAAGTGTTTTGTTTCACATTAGCATCTTGATTTTACTTTTTTTATCTTAAGTTTTTTACATAAAAAATATTCCACTAGCACTGAAGAATTAATTATATATAAATCAAGTCAAATGAACATTATTTGTCTTTTCTTCCTCCCCCTCCTCCACTGCCATTTTTGTTCCATAACATTAGAGACCATCACTTAAATAATTAAAAAGACCTAATTAGCAAAATGTGGAAATGTAACACTCAACTGTCTTCTCAATTAAGAAAATGATTTTATTTTTAAAGAAGTATAGAATTAGTCAAGTGTTCCTATTGCAATTTTTTCAAGTGACTGACTTCCAGGGTATTTTCTAGACTTAATGATATATTCAACTGCTATCTTCATACCTTCTTCTCCATCAACAGTTAAGTACAATAAGAACCAATGCTCAGAATAATGGCCTTGAGTCTGGACAAGAATCCAGGCAGCAAAAGGAAGATTTAATCATATGTTCTACATTGTAGACTGTAGAAGTGCCTTTGAACAGCAAAGATTATAACAGGTATATAAAATAGGGGCATTGTGTCAAATGCCTCTCTTATTCATAGGGAAATTCCTAATTGGTTCTGTTCCCATCTTGGAGATGGGGGAGTCTGTGCCTTTCCTCCCACACACACAATATCCAAACACTTAATGCACTTTACAGGCTTCCTGACAGATGCCCCTAACTTTTGAACACCAGCTTGTCCAACTATGAGTCCCTTCCCTTCCACTTTCTGATCCTTCCTGTAGCTATGTTTACAGCCTCCTTCACCTCTCCAGCTGTTCTCTAGTGCATCTATTCTGTCTTGTTCATTTGAAGATAACTTGCTTGGCAGTGGCTTCTTTGATTCTTTATTAGCTCCTGGAATGCCCGTGAAATTAAATATTGTTTGAGGAAGACAGAGGTAGAAGGATAACCACACTGAGATACCATCTAATCCCAGTAAGAATGACCATCACTAATAAAACAAACAACAACAGATGCTGGTGAGGATGCAGAGAAAAAGGAACGCTTCTACACTGTTGGTGGGAATGCAAATTAGTGCAACCTCTTTGGAAAACAGTGTGGCAATTTCTGAAAGAACTAGAAATTGACCTTCCATATGACCCAGCAATTGCCCTATTGGGAATATACCCGGAGAAACTCAAATCATTCTATTAAAAAAGATACCTGCACACATATGTTTGTTGCAGCTCTAATCACAATAGCAAACACATGGAACCAACCATGGTGCACATCGAAGCTGGACTGGATAAAAAAAAAAATGTGGCATACGTACACAATGGAATATTATGCAGCCATAAAGAAGGACAAACATATGGACTTCACAGCAACTTGGATGGATTTAGTGTCGATCATATTCAGTGATCTATCACAGAAACAAAGAACAGAGTATCATATGTTCTCATTCATAAGTGGACCTTGAACAATTATAATACTATAAGAAAGGGATTGGCAGTAGTGGGAAACTGTCAGGGGAGGGGGTGGGATTGGCAGTTGAGGGAAACTGCTAGGGGAGGGAGTGGCACACCTCATCAACAAGGGTACCTGCATAATCAATGTTTGTATACCTAACCCTGAATTGCACCCCACATCTTTATAATTAAAAAAAAAAGAGAAAGGTTTGCATTTGTTATCTGTTTCCCATATGCCAGGTCATTGTTCTGAACTTAAACACACATGATCTTATTCAGTCCTTTAACAACTTGGATATTATTATTATTCTCTTCAGAGATGAAGGTTATCCTACATACCTCGTGTTTAGTAGCTATTTTTACTAAATATACTTTACACATAATTTGAATTTGGATTTTACTGTATATTTATTTATTTATTTTTGAGTCAAGATTCTGTATTTCAGGCTAG